GAAAGATGACGATTACGTCATCATTTTAGTCGGTAGTAAAGACTAACGACAGCGATTTGTGAATATGTTTAATGAAGTTTCAGATATGTTTTTTTTTTGTTTTCTTTTTTTGGCTTTAAGACCAGGCCATGCAGCCAGAAACTAGGTTGAATATATATATATATATATATATACATATATATATATATTTCTCTAATTATGGACAAACACACGACGTCACAACATCCATGGCGAAGGCGAGATTGGAACTCGCGGCGCGGCCGGCCGGCTGATCAGTAGCACGACACTCTGACCAACGCGGCCATCCGAGGCCCCTTCAGATATGTTAGACAGAGACAAACAGAATTTTATTGTCTAAACAAACTGCATTGCTAAGTTGCATGTATTCGACAAAGATAGACGATGTTTTCATGTTGCATGATCGATTATATTTGAAAGATGAATAGTAAGGTTATGTTAAAGCAGGTTAGGTTGTTTTCGAATAATACTTTAGTCTTTAGTGTTCCTGTCTTAAGGTATTCTATACATAACTGTTTTTTTTCAAAACAAAAACTCCCACTAAAATTATTATTAAGGTATCACTCAAAACCATGAAATAAGATGAAAATAAAAATAATCAGTGAAATATTCTAACTTCTCAAAATCATAATATAAATTTGTTGTCATTATGTTCCTAACATCGTGATTTTATCATCGACGTACGTCCATTGATTACTTCAGTACAATTTATGGTATGTCGTAATAGTCATCTTTCGTGATTTTGACTATATGTGACTGTACTGTTCGAAAGATTTGTACCAAAGGCACATACAACTGGAATAAAAGAATAAATACATACGTTCCATACCGTATAATCTGGCTGGTCCTTTTATCATTTTTGTAACATTGGGACTTTATTATAAAAAACCGTTAACTTGCATAATGACATCCCGATATCGAGATTAAAAGTTACAAAGTCCTCTATAGTAGGTAGAATACAGCGCATGTCCAACATTTGGTCCATCATAAACGAAAAGGCCTGAAAAGATAAACATATATATATAGAAAACATTTGGTGATTTAAACCAAGCATCTGTCTAATGTGCCTTCTGTGCGGGCCAAAGCTCTTGTCCTGGGTTTGAGTACAAAATTTTGCTTGAACTTATATGAAAATTTCCTTGATTCTACTCAGATTTGATATACAAGTTTTCTTACACATCGTCTTGATTTTCAATAAATCCCATAGTCATTCCGAATCTGTCATTCTTTACATCTCACTTTTACCTCATATTTGGGACAATGAGGCTATAGTAGCGATTGTGATTGCGAATATAGTGGTTTGTGGTTACCAGATAGAGAGCAGGACCTCAGCCAATAAAGAGTAAGTTAAAAGATACTATAAAAGTTGCTCTGTCAGATTCTGGTTAAGTTTCTTGGATTTCTAATAAATTACATACAGGAACGATGACATTCCAACTAGTGATTTTATCTTTAGTATCGCTATATTTTTAAATATCCTTCAGGGCAGTGGTCGCCAAGCCGTCGATTGCGAGCTACCGGTAGCTCGCAAAGGCAATTCTGGTGGCTCACAACATATCTTAAAAAGGTATAAAAATCATAGAAGCTTCCGTAAAGCTTATAAATTCTCATAATAAACACTATAATAACTTCAAATCGCTTAGAAACCGTGTTCTTAACATGATCAGGAGGGACAAAAAGACACATATCGAAAATTTGGCAAATGAAAATGATTCAAAAAAATTGTGGAAGTCTCTCAAACAACTTGATATAAATTTTCGTAGTAAACCAACCCTTCCGGCAAGTTTTAATGACCCTACCAAAATTAATGATTATTTTATGTCTGTTTATAGCTATAAACCTGTTGATTCACTAGTTTGCGAAAACTATTTCAAAAATAAATTAAGCTCTGAATATATTTTTTCATTGAATAAGATTAGTTCAAATGACGTATTTCAGGCAATAGGGAGCCTAAAATCTGATGCGAAGGGAATTGATGGTATACCCCTGTCAATGATCCAGCTTTGCCTGCCAGTTATTCTGTATCGCATCGTCCACATCTTTAACGACTGTTTGGAAAAAGGCTACTTTCCAAACACATGGAAACAAGCTCTAATTATTCCAATTAATAAAAAAATGAAACCCACTGAGTATAATGATCTCAGACCTATCAGTTTATTACCAATTTTATCCAAAATTTTAGAAGAAATTATAAAGTTCCAATTGACCGCTTACCTAGAAAAATTCTGTATACTTCCCGACACTCAATCCGGATTTAGAAAAAATTATAGTACAACATCTGCCCTACTTAATCTGCAAGACAATATTTTAAGTGCCTTAGATAAGAAAATGACACTAGCCTTAATCTCTATAGACTATTCGAAAGCCTTTGACAGCATCAATCATAAATTATTACTTGCGAAATTAAATTACATAGGTCTTGACAGTGTATCCATTTCATTTTTAGACAGTTACCTTCATCAAAGAACTCAGTGTATTTTTCTCAATCAAGAAATGTCTCAAGTGACAATAATTCCCTCAGGCGTACCTCAGGGCTCTGTATTGGGACCGCTTCTGTTCCTCATATTTACGTTCGACTTAAGCAAAAGTATTGATAATTCTCATGTCCAGTTATTTGCAGACGATACGCAATTGCTTCATTATTTTAACCCAGATAATGTCAATAATACTACACAAATTTTACAAAACGATGTTAATAAATTAATTAAATACTCTTTAGATCACAATCTACCTATTAATCCACAAAAATCTAAAAATGTTATTATTTTGCGCACAAAGAAAAACATACAATGTAACACAGCTCTTGAACATTCAGATAAATAACCAAATCTTGCAAGTTTCTGATTCTGCAAAAATTCTTGGTGTTGTTTTTGATACAAAATTAAGATTTATTGAACATGTTAAAAGTCTATCTCAGAAAACCTACCTACGGCTGCGCACTCTTATAGCAAACAGGTATTTACTAAATTTTAAGATGCGTAAAAAACTATGTGAAGCATTGGTCATATCTATACTAAATTATTGTAATATCGTATACTATACTTGTTTAGACAATTTCACTAAAAACGTTATTCAAGTTATTCAAAACAATTGTATACGATTCATTTTTGGCTTACGTAAATTTGATCATGTATCGGCGAAATATCCCGTTGTAAACTGGTTAAAAATTAATGACATGGTCAAGTATCACTATTCAGTTTTTGTTCACAAATTGCTGCTCACGTCTAAACCTTATTACTTGAAGAAAAAAATTTCATTTAATAATGATGTTCACTGTAGAACTCTCAGACAAAATAATATTAGAATACCCCTGCATACGTCTACACTTTTTAAACGCAGTTTTTCTTACAATATTGCTACTATTTATAATGACCTTCCTAAAGTATATAAAGAATTTTCATTACCTGTCTTTCGACAAAAAGTTAAAACATTATTACTCAACCCTCCAAACATATAATTTACGTAATCATTCATTTCTTTTTTATTCCATCTTTAATTCAGATTAATAATTTTTTGGTGCATTTGGGTTTGGAAAGTATGCCTTTTTCTCTTTTTTTTTAATTTTACTTTCGATGTAATGAACCAAATCTGTTTGTGGATAGTGTATTCTTTTGAACATCTGCTAGAGACTATATGGTTAAGTGTAAGAGTAGCAGCATGCTAAACTTCGCCATATAAGTCTGACATTTGGCTATACTACAATGTAATTGTTGATAAATAAAGACGTCTATTATTATTAATATTAAGTAGCGGCAACACTGCGGTGAGCGATCTGTTCGAGAACGATCTCGACTACTTTGAACGGAATATATACGCAAGGCGCGGCGACAGTGTGCTAAGTTCAAAACTGAACGGCACAAACTTCAGCGGTTTGGTTAGAGTTAACCTGAAATTGAAAACAATGTGAGCAGTAGTAAGAAGATGAAGATGTATCACTTCCATTCGGAATGCGAAGAGCAACACTTCTTTACAGAAGTTAAATGTAAAAATGTATGTTTGTTATGTAATACATCTGTTTCCGTTGCTAAAAAAGGGAATATCGAGAGGCACTATAAAACTGTACATTCGAATTTTGAAAATTCATTTCCATTCTTTCTGCAACCAGAACGGAAAAACTGAAACAATAAAAAAATCAGTTAATTGGACATCAGAGAATGTTTTTAAAAACAATCGACAGAAGTAAGGCTGCAACTCAAGCATCATACCGCGTGTCCCAGATAATTACACAAAAGAAGAAACCTTATGAAGGAGGAGAAATGATAAAACAGGCGTTTTTAGAAGCTGCAGATTCATTATATTCCAACTTTAGAAATAAAGACGAGATAGTGTCTGCTATAACATCTATGCAACTTTCTGCTAATACAGTGACGAGACGAGTAGAAATAATGAGCAGTTTTACAGTTAAGAAATGACTTACTGCAGCTGGATGAATCCACAGATGTCGTTGACACCTCTCAGATGGCCGTGTTCGTCAGGATGGTTTTTAGTGATTCTACGATTAAAGAAGGGTTTTTTAAGTTTATTCCCCTAAAAGGAGAGACTACTGGGCAGAACTTGTTTTCTTCTTTAAAAATACCATTTCTCTGAGAAAATTCCTATATCGAAAATGATAGGCTTGACAACCTATTTCGCTCCAGCTATGGTGGGTCGTGATAAGGGTCTCGTGGGGTTATGTCGTAAAGATGAAAGTTTTCCGAAATTTCTCTATTACCACTGCATTATCTATCAGCAAGCATTATGTGGACATTTTCTAAAACTAAACGATGTTATGAAATTCGTAGTAAGAATTGGGAAATTAGAAGAGCTCAAGCGTCACAAAGAAGATTATTCAAAACCTTGTCCGATGAAATTGACTGTCAATACGGGAACTAATTCTTCACAAGTCCGATGGTCAAGTAGGAGACGAGTGCTGAAACGTTTTAATGATATCATATCTGCCAATTTTTCAAACAACGTGATGAACCGATTTCGGACCTGGAAAATTCAATCTGGCTTAGAGATTTTGGTTTTCTTGCGGTCATTAGAGAAACTTGAAATTAACTTAATTTGCAGCTTCAGGGGAGAGACAGAGAACTAGCAGAAATGATTTCTGATATAGAAGCGTTTATCAAAAAGCTACAACACTTAATCGATGGCGATACCAGGCCTTTTCCTGTTCTTTCAGAAAAGATATCTCAAAGTCCATTAGAACCATATGACAGTGAATATCATGTAGAAATAGTCTCCAACTTGAAGGATAACTTCAAAAATCGTTTAAAGGATATCAGCGAAATAGCTATATTAGCGCAATTTGTTGTTTCGCCCTCCATGGAAATTGATATCCAACAGTTTGCAACTTCTGGTACGCAGAATTTCAGCGAAGACATCGCTGCGACAGAAATGGAAGTGATTGCGTTTCAAAATGATTTAGCTTTAAAATCATTAGTCTCAAATACAAAATGTATCTGGCCTTCAGTAAGTAAGATAAATATTCAGTTTTATGTCGTGTTGCATTGAAAGTGAAAGCATTACTTAGTTCACCTATTTGTGTGAATCTTCTTTTTCAAATATGAAGTTTATTAAAAACAAATACCGTAATCGACTTACAGATGAACATTTGGATCATTCTATTCGGATAGCGGTATCAAATTATACTCCAAACATTAAAATTGTCAGTGAGTCTGAGTGTCAGGCTTCTCATTGAACAAGCATGCTTTTATTTAAAATAGTGCATTGCTTTCTTTATTTTTAGTTACCTTTATTAAATCGTATGTGACATGCTATTGTAGCTGACGAGACATTTTTTTTATTTTTCAAACACCTAAGATTGGTAGGAATGAATGTAGTTATGTAGTATGTATTAGTTATTAGTTTATTTAAGTTTATTAATATGTACTAGTATTAGTAGAATAAACACATGTATATCGCATACAACTGTGTATAATTCCATTTAAATTGGCTAACATTGCTTACGACTAGGTAGCTCACTGTTTATTCCAAAATTATCAAAGTAGCTCAACACACTGAAAATGTTGGCGACCACTGCTTAAGGGCATCCCAAGTATTTTCTGTGCCCCTATCTAGAGAATTACAACTACCGCATTCAAAATGCAAGATGATTTCGCAATGAGATTCGAATTACTAGTGATATATTTGAAACCGGACCTTGATATGCAACAGATGGTGGTGCTATAAAACGAATTTCATGGTAGTAAGTGCTTGGACACGACAATTACCTGTATGTACGAGGTATAATAAGAAGAAAATGAAATGTTGTGTAAGAGTATATAAGACTGGAGGGAGATAATCTTCTAACAAAAATATGGCAAACTGCTTCAACGCAACCATAATATAGAGTGATCCAAATTTTAACTTCCTCATGGGAATGTTAGAAAACTTTCGTAGATACGTGACTGGAAAAACCGACTTGTTTCGGATGTAGACAAAGACGGAAAAAACTTCATAAGTCTCTTATGAATGTATGATGAAGCTACAACAAGAACTTAAGCTATCTCCCAGCATGACGGTGACTGTCTAATGAATACTGACAAATCGTAGAAGCTCTTTTAGTCATTCAAAGCTGACGTCCACTACCTTCAATCATTCCTGCTGGCATACACTGATGTCTCTTGATGTGCCTTGGGTCATTATGAAGAGGGGATTTTGAACAAATAGCTCAACTGTGGTGTGTAAATACAATTCTCCGGTGGAATGGATAATTTTTGCACGAACCCGATATATTGGTCCGTTATGTAAGGCAATGTGTGCCTACATGCATGCTTCAGATGCAAAATAAATTGAACTGTTTCTTAGGGTCAGTCAGGTGTAAAGGCATTCAGTAGCTGTATGCTCTCAGTTTAATAGGATATTACGCATTTGAATAGACTCTCGATTTCAGACAAACAGTTTAGAATGACTGCGGTTTAGAGGAATGCGGTTTTTCTGTGATACATTGAGTGTCTGTTAATAAATTGCCACACACGCACTTTCAACTATTCCCATGACATTCGATATCAATGTATTCAATAGTGTAATAGTAGTAACATCTTTTTTTACACATTCGCCTGGCCGTTGAACTACAGGCTGGCATGATGATATATATTTTTTATTCAATATTTCTGACAATCTCTGTAGTACATTAAGAAAAATACACCTATACATATGGAAACACATTGCTAAATACAGAAAGAAAGACTTGTTACTGCTTAATGCATTAATTAGTGAAACGTAATTAGCGAACTAGTCAAGTAAATTAATTAATTAGATCACGATGAAAGGAGATAAGAAATACCCCATTAATTATCGAGCAATAAATCTGTTAAATGTAGCACTCAAATTGACAACAAGAATAATAGTGACAAAAATAAACGAAAGAATAACTCTGCAAGAGGAACAGCAAGGATTCCGGATAGGAAGATCATGCACGCATGCAGTTTTTGTAATAAGACAAATAAAAGAAAAGTCGCTGGAATACAACAAACCAGCATATATGTGCCTGATAGATTTAAAGAAAGCGTTTGATAGAGTGAGAATTCTGGACGCGATACATTTATTATATGTCAGCGGAATACCACTGGATTCAGTAAAAACTATTGAGAATATATATAAGGATAACATAGCTATGGTAAGATGTAAAGGAAAACTCTCGCAACCTATCAAGTATGAAACTGGCATTAGACAAGGAGATTCGCTGAGCCCACTAATATTTAATCTGATAATGGATGAAATCATAAAGAAAGTTAAAAAAAGAAGAGGATATAGAATGGGAGAAAAGGAAATGCAGATAATATGCTACGCCGATGACGCCATAATAATAGCCGAAAATGAAGATGACCTACAAAGATTAATTAAAGAATGCGAAGATACGGCGCTCATATACAACATGGTGATTTCAATAGAGAAAACTAAATCGATAGTGTATATCAGCGGAGCCGAGACGATGTGAACTGGTCGTAAATAAAAAAATAATAGAACAAGTGATGGAAATGGATGTCTCAACAATACAATCTGGAGAAACAAATACCTCACAACGGAAACGAAAACTAGGATATATAAATCAACAATAAGAGCGATAATGACGTACAAAGCGGAAACAAGAGCAGATACGGCGAAAACACAAAGATTATTGGAAACAGCAGAAGTCTTACGAAAAATAACAAACCAAACTCTAAGAGACTGAGTAAGAAGTGAGGAAATACGAGCGAGATGTGGTATAGAGAAAATAAACCTGTGGACCAAAAAAAGAAAAATAGAATGGAATCAACAAATAGAAAGAATGACAGAAAATAGAACAGTACGAATAGCAAGAGACAAATCGCCAAATGGAAGAAGATCAATGGGACGACCGAGGAAAAGTTGATCAGACAACATCAATTGAGGCTAAAAACCGAAGTAAAAGAGGCATGAGCCTAATAATAATCTAGGAAGAAGAAGAAGAAAACAAATTTTAAAACTATACTATGTGGTGATTTTAATACTGACTTTTACAAATCAAATTACGATTTCAAGCGTTTTATTGACACTGTGAGTGACTTTGATTTGCATCCAATAATAAAATGGCCAACAAGAATTGCGAAATCATCATTATCAGCTATTGACCAGATATTTCTAAATTTTCAGAACTATGGTACAAACTGCGTCATTGATAATACTGTATCTGACCATAGGTCCGTACTCCTTGAACTGAATATTTTCTCCCCTGACAATGATTTAGGTTACGAAATCTATCATTCTCGTAAATTCGATGAACATGCGGTTAATAACTTTATGTGCAATTTAATATCTGAGAGTTGGTTGGAAGTGTATAACATCTTTTTGTGATATATTTTTACATCATTTTAACACGAGTTTTCCACTTTTGAAACGCTTTAAAAAATTGAATACAAAGAAATGGGTGAACAATGAAGTAGTAATATGAAGAAGGAACTTGAAAAACTTAAATGGCTTAACCAAAATATTCCCATAAGCCAAATCGGAGTATCTTCGAGCCAAAAAATTGCATCAGAATCTGGTGGCCACAGCCAAAAGAACTTACTATCAAAACAAAATTTTCCAATCGGGAAACCTCATTAAGACGACATGGACCGTAGTTTCTGAAATAACTCAAAAAGAAAAAAAGAAATAACAATACCTCTTAAAAGTAGATGAAGCTGTTATAACTGATCCACTGGATATAGCAAATCATTTCAGTACGTACTTCAAAAATATATCATCGCAGTTCATTAAAACAACAGCATCTCAGTACAACTTCGAAAATCACATGATACAGCGAACGAAATGTTTCTATATCCGTTCAATAAAGACGAGTTTTTAATATTAAGATAAATTCAAGAGTAAGAATTCAGCTGGTCCAGATGAAATTCCTGGATTTCTCTTGAAACAGGCACTACACACTATTACTAAACCCCTGGTACATCTGATTGATTTGTCTTTTTGCCTAGGAAAATTTCCAGAAGTTCTGAAGAACGGGAAGGTGGTACCAGTTTACAAAAAGAGAGATCCATCAGACATGGGAAATTTTAGTCCAATAACGGTCCCATTTAGCTTCTCAAAAATTTTTGAGTATTGCTACGCCAGTCGCTTACTGACGTTTTTTAAGAAGAAAAATATCAGCTCGCTGAACCAATACGGATTCTCTACTGGAAAGTCAACAACAACAGCCATCAATTCGTTCTATGAACGATTGATTTCATTCATTGAGGCCGGAGAGTGTCCGGATGGGGTAATTTGCGACTTGAATAGGGGTTTTGACTGTGTCAATCATAACATTCTGTTGCAAAAGCTCTCTGCATCTGGTGTGAATGATGCTTCTTATAGGTGGCTCAACTCATACTTTGTTGATAGGAAACAATATGTTTCTCTACTTCATAAAGATGAACAAATGTTACATCGAGTCCAATCCAGTGAAGTCCTCAAGGTTCCATTTTAGAGCCTATTTTGTTCATTCTATATATCAATGAGATTGAGTCAGTGTGTGAGGATGCGCTGTTCACACTATATGCAGATGATGCATCAATATTAGTCTCGAGTAAATTGGAAAATATATTAAATGATAGATGCAACGAAGTAATTGCAAAGGCCAGTGATTGGTTTTCCAAACATCAGTTGTTTTTGAATACTAACAAGAGCAATTGAATTAGGTTCCATAACCCCCAAAAAAAGATAAATATCCTTGACGTTAAACATAAGAATGCGCAATTGAACTTCACGACTGATGTTAAGTTTCTGGGAATATTTCTGGACGATAAATTAAATTTCACAGTACATTGCGATCACCTGGTTTCGCTACTTAACTCTATCTCTTATTTGTTTAAAAAATTTAAGCTTGGTTCTCTCTGAAAGTCAGCTGGTCGGAATATACTCCGACCTTGTGGAATCCAGACTCAGATACGGTATTTGTCTTTGGGGCTGCTCTGCTACTGCATAACGTGTTTTTATTGCTCAAAAGAGTATAGTTAGATCAATGGCGCGGGTAAGTAACACACACAGTTGTAAAGACATTTATAAAAAATATAAAATCTTAACAGTACCTGCCCCGATTCACGAGTTGGCGTTTTATGTATTCCGGAATAAGACCAAGTTTACTCCCAACAAAGAAATACACACTGTTGCCACAAGGAAGAGTGATAATATACATTCCAATTTTTCTAAATTTAAAGTAGGAAATAAATCGCCAAATATATACTAAGTGACATATAAATCCGAACACCCAGTTTAAATGGTTTTATTTTAATAAAAGTTGGTGAATATATTTATCTTTTTTTATATTTTCAGCCTTATCAGTTGGACATTCCGGTTTTTATACTGCTTTTTTTTAATTCACTAACGCTCTAAAAATGAATATTTCAGCCGCAGTAAAGAATCAACGTTGGCGGATTTTGGTTCTTGACATCCTTTACGATTGGTTACGATGCCTAGAGTACGGAGACCTGTACGATTTCGTCAACTTAGTGAGTTTGATAGGGGCCGTATAGTGGGACTTCGGGAAGCTGGACTTTCTTTTCGGGCAATTGCAGTTAGAGTGCAAAGAAGTGTAGACACTGTGGTTAGGTGTTGTCAGGCATGGCTTGGAGCAGGCCGTACGCAAAGAGCAAGGGGCACTGGACGCCGCCGTAGAACAACAGACCGTGAAGATCGCCGCCTAAGATTACTAGCCTTAAGGGACCGTTTCTCCACTACCAGGTCCATTGCAAATGAATGGTTTGCAGAACACGGAAGACCTATTGGCATGCGAAGTGTTTACCGACGAATGAGAAGTTTTGGCTTGTTTTCATACCGGCCACACTGGGTCCTCCCTTTAACTCGAGAACACCGACGTAATCGCCTTGAGTGGTGCAGACAACGGTCACTCTGGGATCAGGAATGGAACAGTATTGTCTTTAGTGACGAGTCTCGATTTTGTTTAGGCATGCACGATGGTCGTGCCAGGGTTAGAAGGCGACGTGGTGAAAGGAGGAATCCAGAGTTTTTTGTTGAAAGATATGTTCATCACACTGTTGGAGTTATGGTTTGGGGTGCTATAGCTTATGGTTCCAGGTCACCTTTAATCTTCATCAGAGGTAACATGAACGCGCAGCGTTATATCCACGAAGTTCTAGAACCCCATCTTTTACCCTATCTTGACACCCTGGCAGCTCCAACTTTCCAACAAGATAATGCCCGACCACATGTTGCAAGAGTCACAATAGACTTCTTCCAACATAATGATGTCACATTGTTACCATGGCCACCAAGATCTCCCGACTTATCCCCAATTGAGCACGTGTGGGATATGATGGGTAGGAGATTGCTCAATTTGCAACGTCCTCCTCAGACTCTAGAAGCACTTCGAGAGGAGTTGGTGGTTGCCTGGAATGAGATACCACAGGAGGACATTGACCACCTGATCAGAAGCATGGCTAGGCGTGTTGGAGAATGCGTAGCACATCAGGGTGCATCCACACATTATTAAAGGTCAAAGGTCTTTAAAGCAGTGCAATCATTTAGAAATTTTTGCCATTTACTTATTACGCTTCATTAAGTACTTACACACAATTTTATTAAAATAAAACCATTTAAACTGGGTGTTCGGATTTATATGTCGCTTAGTATACTTGGTCGTAAAATGTTTAACATCCTTCCAAAGGATATACAAGGAATAGCAAATCAAAATCACTTTAAGTATTGTTTGAAAGGCTTTTTGATAAATAAATGTTTGTATAATGTCTGTGAGTTTATCAGTGTGTAAATCTTGTTCATTATTTTGTTTTAATATAGTTTTGTCATAACTCTGTATATAGATGCTCTCTTGACGATACAAACTTTGTCTCAAGAATAAAATAAAAAAAATATTAAGAAGAATACTGAAATTCGTCAATTAAGATGCCGATTATTATACCTAAGTCTGACACTCATTTGGGATTTAAAATACGTCACTACGAAATGATACAACTGATTATCGATAGTTAGAGAACACCAATTTATTATTAAATCCTGTATGATGAGGAAAATACCTAATTTTCCTAAGAAAAGAAAAAACTGGGTTTGTTTAGTTAAGTTACTTACCTGTCTACTAAATGAGTAACTTACAAGGGCCAATTCAACTGATATGTACTGGTTGTGATAATCAATCAAATAAATTCAAACACCAAGTCAAAGAACTTGTTAAATGGATATGAAGGGAGAATTAGTGGTAAACATTTCGCTAAGTTGGATCAAGAAAGTTTAGTTATCAAAAGTATTAAAGAAATATGAAATCAAATACGAAGTTGTAAATTGTCTTACCAAAAATATAAGTAGTTGCTGAAAGGAACTTGTTGGGATCATGACCAGAAGAATTATCAAAGATATAAGTGGATACAAGTGTCATGCTACATTTTTTTAAAAGTGCTTTTTTGGATTAAGCTAACTTTAAGGGGTGATTCTCTCATTATGTGATTACTCTGTTGCAAAAACAAACTAAATATACAAAATATCAATAAAGTAAAAAGTCACAATAAAAAATGTTAAAAGGCAATTTTATCCATTAAATGATTTTGTTACATGACACCTCTATCCACTTTTGTCTTCACTTAAGAATTTAAGCGCGAATGAACCCGAACACAGGGCTCTTCCGCGGTCCTCGATTTGGATAAAGAAGTATGGAAAGCAGTTTTATGATCAGACAGATGGTCATGTTAATTCAGCGTTGTTGCATTTAAAAGAAACCAATTGAGAATCTGCACAATCAGATCAAGAACTGATTTTCTCTATATTCATCAGTTATCCAATCGTCAAGGTTTAGGTGATAACAATCCAACATACGAGAAAAACCATATCAGAAAAAAACTCATTCGGCTGTAACTAACTTGATGTTTTGAATCTCCATCAATGTTGAATATTTATATTTGTATCTAAATACGCAAATTTTACCGTAGTAGCATTTTTTTGTCCGTGTGCCCCATCCTGATGGGAGGCTGTAAACGTCAAGGGCTTTGTCAATGGTTCGAGCCACTTAGAGATGTTAGCTTCTTGGAATTTGTGCCAAAAGGGGTTGCATTATGCAAACTGTCAAATAGTTTGGTAGAAAATTCACAGATGAATCTCATCATCTTACCAGTCGCTTCTATCATAGCCAGCCAGACTTGTGAAGAGGCGTATCAAAGGCAGACAGAAAAATGTAAGATTTTAACCTAGACGTGGCATTGTCATATATTTCAATTTTTTTATCTCGCAGATCTATCAATTCTGAATGCAGCACTAGGGTTCAAGTATAAAAAGGGTACTATAAAAGTTTTGCAATACAGCTTTATTTATTGACTTCGTTCAAAGTAATTTCCGCCACATTAATACGCTTTTCCATCCGCCAAAACTAGTCCTGAAACCAGCTCTGCGAAGTTTCACCCGGAAGTGCGGCACACTCGTTGTCACAAGCCCTCAGAAGGTCCTCATCGCTAGAAAACCGTTTTCCTTTTACCTTCATGTTCACATGCGGAAACAGTGCAAAGTCGCAGGGAGCATGGACTGTAAGAAGGGCGCCCAATGAGTTTAGTTTACTTAGTAGTGGTCAAATACTCGGTGCAGGCTTCGGGGCGGTGAGCTGGAGCGTTGTCATGGTGGAGGTACCAAGTGCCTATTTTTGACTTTGGTCGCATATTTTTCATAGATTCTATGATTTTAGGCAGGCATTGTTCTGTGTACCACTTAGCTGTCACTGTCTTCTGTGTATTTAAAACGACACGCTCCACAATCCCGCTCGATTAAAAAAATACAACTATCATATTTTTCTTAGTAGATCGGGATTTTCTGACAGCTACGGGTGTGTCCTCATCATCAAAGACCCACACATTGTTTCGAGCCTTGGTCGGCACATCGTTATAATAGAGCCAAGTCTCATTTCCTGTCACGATGCTGTTCACATATCGAGATTGCCCGTTATCAAACAGTTTCAGCATCTTTCAGCACCAAGTCGTACGACGAGTCTTATGCTCTTCCGTCAGACTCTGCGGTACCCTTACGTGTAAATGGTCATGCACTGAATGAATTACTGGTGCATGAAGGTATGAGGTAACCTCTATCTTGTAACGCTTCCTTTCCGCAAAAAGTCCAGAAAAGATGGAATGCAATGAAGATTCCAACTTTTCTGCACAATCACAGAAAGGGGGTTAGCATTAGCTTCCGGTAGCTCAGTCGGTGGCATGAAGACATCTACAGGCGTGTAGCTGTGTGTCGACCATGGCATGGCTAGAGGATAGAAGAACAAACAGAACACAAAAATTTAACAGATTTTATTTAACAAAAAAAAAGCATTTCCATTACATTACAATTTTACAGTTTTAAAGAACAAAATAAGTTTTACATCTTTGGCGCTGCTATAAAACTATCAACTTATCTTTCGCTGGTCCATTTTGACTCGACTGAAGCGAGGATGGCCAGGTGCTTGAAGTGGAGGTCCCAGTTATGAGGGCTGACCTCACATATAGTGGCTTCAAAACCAGTTGTAGGCGAAGTTGAACTTAAAGGCGATGGCGCTGCCAAGGCACATGCATGGGTGAAGTGATAGGCCAAGCAACGCAAAGTCAAAGACTAAGGCAAAAGCAAAGTCAAAGACAAAGGCAAAGGGAAAGGGAAAGAGAAAGGGGGTGGCCCCAATCTGAAAAAGAACCGTGTGCATTAGCAACGTGCCCTAATGGCCAAGGCATTTCCAATCTCAGTCTGCCTCAAAAGAGAACCAACGATTTTCTAGGTTAGAATTACATTACATAGTTTGATAAAATCAAACCGAAAATTGGAAATGCCTTTCATAAAATGAAATCATGAAATAGCAAAAAAAAAGCGTAAAACAAGATGGTGGTCATCAAAAATTTCTCCACATGCTTCTGATATAAAAACACAAATATCGAATATTCATAATCAACGTACTTATAATTTCACTGAACTATGAATATATATATACGCACACAGAGGTAAAATCGATGTGGATCGATTTCCACCTCGATTTGATTAAAGTTATGGCGAATGATCGAAGTAGTCGAAAATGACGTTCGATGGACATTTTAAAATCGTACAAGAAATAAACCACTTACATATCGATTATCTATAAACTACAGGCAGATCCAGCAATAAAACTGTATAGTATTATAAAACTCACCATTTTGTCCTTTTCGGACAGACATTCTACAAAATTCTAGCACATGGTGCTATATGACCTTGTGCTACAGAGAACAAAATTCTTAGCTCTTGTTCGATCGGCGGCTCAAGTGAAAAGGAAGCGCGAGGAAGATCGCAGATCAGGAACTCCGCATCAAGCGCACCAAGCGAAAAATTTTCCAAGTAAAAAAGCTAGAGATGGGATTAATGAAATGATAATCGAGAAGTGATTTAATAAATACGATCGGACGGTGAAACCGTTACAATCTGTTGGTATGTCACTCTCCGGTCTTCGTTAAGCAATTTCCTCATAGTAGTAATGTTTTTCCCTTTTACTAACGTTCGCGGCCTTCTTTCCCTCTCAGCGTCATCCAGACTGAAATTGCCCATCCGGGATGCTCTGTACAACCTGAATATACTTCATTCTTTAATGCAAACGTCATTTCTTCCTAAGCACTGGTCGATGCTTAAACCACGCTTAAAGTTATAAAGTAAAGTATCTGACTGTAGTATGTGACTACAATGCGATAGTCCGCACTTTACACTGTCACTACTAATGAACAACTGAATCAACAGACGGCTACTATGCACTCATGGACATGTCTCAACATACAGTAACCTGCAGCCTCCTGCGTTTGTTAAGTAATATTAAAAACCTTTTATAGTACCCTTTGTAAGAGCGTTGATAAAACGGTTTAAAGAAGATAAAAAATTAGATACGCACTTCTTTATCCAATACAAGGCTGATCAATGCTTAACAATCGGGTCAAACGGTTGATTCAGGAATTTGCAGCGGGCGACTGATTATATCTATTTTAGTTACACTTGTGCGATAAAAAATCCAATTATTTAATTATTGTCTCTGTTTGAATTCACATATAGTTGTAGTCACCATTCTTGGCGGATACGTCATCAACGCCATAAGAAATAAGTTAACAGTCCGTGGGCGCTGACTACATATATATATAACTATATATCATATCTGTGCCTAAATACTCAAACAAACTTTACCGTTATGAAGCGCCTTCTTGCCTGCTCACTTGCACCTTCGAGAATGAAGTTTCTGTTCAGAGTCATGCGTTTTGTCAATGGTTCGGGTCACTCACAGTGGGGCTTACATTATGTAAACTGCCTAATAGTTTCGTAGAAAATTCACCGATGAATCTCATGATATTACAAGACGCTTTCATTATATCCGGCCAGAGTGACATATTAAGAGGTGTATCAAACGCACCAGATAAGGTATGTATTTCGCAAACAGAAAAATGTAAGATTTTAACCTAGACGGGACATTGTCATACACTCCAGCTAAGTGTAACTGAAAATAATCATTATCATTATCAATATTCTGCTGCTACGTGTAATTTAACTGACAAAATACCACCTAGTCAGGAAATACTATTAATTGTCACCTTGTAGGTTGGCGAAGAAGTAATTACACTTGAAGTAGCAACACCATATACTCTGATGTTCCTGTTAACGCTAACATTGGAGCTGAAAGAATTTCCAATGCGTTTGTGCATTATTTTACAATTAACTGAATTCGCAGCAGATCTGATTATATCAGATCCACCTTGGCATAATTATTGGCACTTTCATCATGGATCTTGTACTACGTAGAAATTTTGCAGCTTAACAAACAAGTATTTTCATATTTTTATATTCAAATTATTCACGTTTCCTGGTAGCGGAACCATGCAGTACTCTAGGGTCTTTCATTTGTGCCAGATCGTTAACGCACATACACATTAAAGAGTCCCATGTTTGATATGCACGTATCTCTGACCCGTTTAAATCCAGCTTACGAAGAAATCTCATATGTAGCTACGATTTTGCAGTCTGGCTGTAAAGCAGACTCTACAGGTCGACCGACGATATGTCTCCATTACAACGTATACAGACTGCAACATGTTGCAGAAGAAGCGCTGGAGATACAGGGTGCGGCAGCATAACTTCCTTTCTTCACAACAAAACTCATTGTATTACTTAGCACATTTCATGTCTGTTTTATTCCTTCTTGGATGTTGGTCTTCAATCTTGTAAGCTCCTTAGATGGTTCGCATGAACATAGAAAAGATCACAAGAGGCCGAATCGGGACAGCAAGCCGGCCACTCCAAGTCGCCCCTAATTGAGATGAGGTTCTTTGGGAAGCTTTTGACGCTCTTGAAGTATGTGCCGTTGCCCCTTTTTGTGGAACCAAATGTCCGTCATCTAGAGGTGGAAAATCCTATAAAAAGTTTACATACGGGTCCGAATTCACTGTCACTACGTCTTTATTTGCGTCTTTGCGTCTTTAGGAACGACGCCCACAAGCGAGGGTTGAAGGCACGTTCAGGAAGTTTCTGCACAATTACCACCTTGTAAGGATAGAGATGAAGACCATCATGAAGAATTCTTCTCACAGAACGATCGGAATATCCAAGGCAGGTTCTTTCTGGATGTTAGGGATTTAAGTTTTGGCTATTAAATCATATTTTTTGTTGTGCAATTCTTGGTAAAAAATATATTCAATATTGTCTATTTTTTTTTTTGGAAAAAAGAACTAACCGGCACAGCAAATTAAATATAAAACTTGTCATTTTCTGAAGCAGTTTTACCAACAATTCATAATTTTTTGAATATACGGAAAAAGTTTTTTAAACATTGAAAATGTTACCTAGCAAAAAAATGCCTATGTCTTTAGATGATCAACTTTTTTTTATTAACTATCAAGAATATATTTCTATTGTAAAATTCGTCTATGCATTTTTGTTTTCTGAAATTCTGGATATCCTGGTTTCTAAGGTTCACATTAACGAAGGTGCTATCCCAGCTCACAACTGTTATAAGCTTTGTCTGCTTAAATGCTGTAAATATTTCTTCTTTGCTCGGCCGACTTGACTAACTACCTACTAGCATGCTAACTGCTATGCCGAAACATATTATTAAGACGATTCGTAAAGATGTCAAGGTCATTTGCCTACTGTGTGTACTCAGTAATTAACTCTTGACATTTCATTTGATTGAGAAATGCTAAACTAACCAAATAAACATTCCTGGAATGTCAAAGTGATCGTTTAGATATAGTACAGAAAAAACGTAAAACGTAAAAAGTATGCATATACAGGGTGGTAGGGAAATAATATTCATATCCTTAGGAGGCGATTCCTTGTATTATTCTTAGTAAAAAAGTTCATTATAGCTTATGTCCGAAAATCAATCGTTTTCAAGGAAAGTGAGTCGTAAATAATTAAATTTTCTTTTGGCAACGCTGCAACGCAACGCGATACGAGCGCACGACGACCGCAACTGATTCATCGAATTGTTTACGTTTGTATGATACTTTTGTTGGAAATATGCCTCGAATTATTGAATACTTTTACGCATTTTTTTGTGACTAATATTTTATACTTCAAGAAAAATGACAGAACTTACCGGTACATGGCGATATACACCACCAATTCCCACGTTTATCTGTCACTTCTTTGAAACGACGCGATGGACGAAAAAAGAAAAAACCAACATACGTAAATCACATAAAGTTACAGTTAAATGTATTAGTAATCACAACAACACTCGATGATACATGTAGTGCAGGCGGTGTACGACGTTGCCAGTTGTGTGAGGGAGTTTATTTGTCTGCTTCTTCCTCGGAAAATTGTACTTAATAAGCAAGACAATTATTTTGTTCGAGAGTTAATTAATAAATAGATGTATTAATACATTTTACGCTATTAGGCATATGAATTTAAATTATTTAGGTGCAAAATTAATTTAATTCATGACTAAAAAGAAATTAGTTCAAGCGGCTGATTTTCGGACATAGGTTATAATTAACTTTTTTGCTTAGAGTAATGCAAGGAATCACCTCTTAAGGTTACGAATATTATTTTCCTAACAGCCTGTAGATACATGAAGAATTTCAGTGTTTATACATGTTAACTTTTCACGTGACCATCTTATCCTGTCAAATTTATGTACCAAATTATGCTATTCTATGACATGATGGTAGAGTTCCAAGTAAGATTATCTACAATGTACAGTAATAATTTTCCAGTTACAATGATTTTATTGTTTATCTTGTTAATAGCAGATACTTCAACGAAATGTTTTATCAAAAATATTCGACATTTCTTCATGTCCTAATTTGATTATTCTATATTTTTCCACAATTATTTTCACTTAAAAATAAAGATATGATATACAAGATATTCTATAGTTACATCAAAGTCTATGTGAAGATACATACACATTTTGTACGACAAAGTAACATATTTAAATCAATTTAGAAAAGAAACAAAAGAAACACAAACCTCACTAAAATACAAATGTAAACGGATTGTTATTGTCAGAAATATCACATACGTGATGTGTTCAATAATTCATAGATAAATCAAAGGGTCAGTTACCGATTTTATGCCAAAACACGTTTATGCTACAAAATAATTTCATATTCTATTATTCGTAATAATGTTCGAAACAAGGTATAGATAATGGCAACGGTAGTGAGTCAGTCTGACAGCGGCCTACCTTTCTGCTTCAATTGCCACTACATACTCTCCACATCCAACCATGACACTATATATACAGGGTGTTTCAGAAAGTACATCCAAAAATAATAAATAAGTTCTTATAAATATGGGTCCAAAGTTGCTCCGCTACCGAGATACAGGGTGATAAAGATATATATTTTTGCGGAATTGAAAAATTATATCTACAAAGCGGGTAGAGATATTGAGTTAAGATTTTAGATGTTCAGTTTATCACAAGCAACAAAAACTAAACCAGGGACGTACAAACTGAGGTACTTTGACCCCTAATACGAAATAGTTTCTACGCCACTGGCCTTTGCGGAGGAAATTAGCGTATTTTATAAAATACCTTTAAATTTTTCATAAATTTTGTCGCTTAAGGAATTTTTACCAGGTCATTCGTTTTGGAGATATTTAGGTTTGTGTATTTGAGGTAGAATCCTAAAATATTCTTATGAAAGCGGATCCGCGCTTTGGAGGTTCGGGATCTCGAACCTCAATAAGTGGAGCAAAATCCATATTGAATGCGATATCCTGCTTTTGGGGATTGCGATTCGGCATGAGTGGACTTGTTTTTGGTGACCCAAAATGCGTACAGTCGAGATGTGGTCATTTGAACCGCATTTGAAGCATTTTAGCTCTGTGTTTCAATTTACAGTTGAAGACTCAGATCGCTGTCCAGTGCATGAAATAATGAAACAGTTCACGTCAAGAGTTACTATTCGTGTTTGACAAACCATTTTCAATCTATATTTTGAGCGATGAGAAGAAAATCGATTAAATGGCTTAATGTGGAATCCTCTATGGGAAATTCGTATGACATTGGAACTATTGTCAAATTGGTTTTTTTCCAACAATGATATTCTGAATATCAGGAAAGTTCATTTACAGTGGACAAGACAGACCAAGCTCATAGCTAGGTAACATCATACTGTTAACTTGTTTAGATAATCATCTGTGACAGCCCCTGATAATCAGAAGTCATTATTATTATCGTAGTTTTAAGCATTTTAATGAGCATGCGTTCTACATTGACCTACAAAAGCTCCCTCTGATAGATACAGTGAAAGCTCCCATAAGCGGACACTCACGGTTCCGTAACTTTTGTCCGCTTATGGGAGGTGTCCGTTTAAAAGAGAGTATGTAAGTATAGAGTATAAATAACGGGGTATATAATCATGAGGAAATGAGGTATTATAATCATGAGAAAAATGAAACAGAAACTCGCCACATTTTTAAAGTATGTATTTATGCTATATATCTATATAATATATGTACATATACGCATACAAAAACATAAATGCTTCAATACATGGTACGAGAATTTAAAAAAAACATTATTCTTTAGCTTGTTGAAAAAAGTTTAAAATGTTTGTCTGACGAAATTTCACCATCTTTTGCTGAAGGAGACAATTTTCGTAATAACTTTCTAAATTTTTCAAATGTTGAAATGCAGTGAAATCATCTTTAGCAAATTTTTTCAATATAGAAATATGATTTAGAGCTTCTCCATATGAATTTATCGTTTTTGAACCGCTTAGTGAGTCCACCAGTTCCACTTCTTCTTCTGAGTCGTTTGGACTACCATATTCAAGTTGGCCTGGGCTTTCTACATCCAAATTCGAAAAGTTGCCAATGGCATTTTCTTCTGTTGTTATGTTATTGTCTATGGCCAGGAAATCATCTACTTTCTGGGGATCTGCTACTCCTAAATGTTTGGCATGTCGCAGTAACTGAGCAAGTGTCGCTAAGGGCAGATCGTCTTCAGCATCGCAATAATTTTGCTCAGCAAATTCTGAGCTACATTCACTTTTTCTGAATCCAGCTTTGTCAAAACAGTTTTTAATTGTAGAGGAATTTACTTTATTCCATGCTGTTTTTATAAAATACAAAGCTTCTAACACATTGATAGACTTTGTAAGCTCAGATAAGCGTTGACCATCGTCAATTTTTGTTAAAATATGTTTTAAAATCAAGTGCCGATAATAAAATTTAAAGTTCTGTATGATACCTTGATCCATGGGCTGACAAACAGAAGTTGTGTTTGGCGGTAAAAATATAATTTTCACATTTTTCATTTTCATATCACGAGGATGAGAGCATGCATT